CATTCCTCAATATGAAACAAAGCTAGGTCTAGTCATAACACTTCACATGAACTAAGATGTCAGTGGACAGGTGTCACTCTGTCCCTCTACTCTGCTTTCTCAGTGGTCCTCCCCTACAGTGTCACAGGGCCAAATTGCTCTTCTTGACTACAATACAATAATTCGAGCAGTTTTTACTTGGCTGTCTCAGACTCCTCTCGCTGACCCAGAAAGTAAAACAAAGAAAAATTATGCGTTTGGGTGAAAAAATATTTTCTGGTAATCTAGCTAAATTTGACACAACAACAACAAAAGTGTCCATGGTTTAGCAAAGAGCCCAATGAGATTCCAGAACGCAGGGTTCCTACAGACTAAACAAGCTGGAGATAAGAAAGTCAGCAGAAAAACTCTAAATCCGCCCGCTGAGCAAGTGAAATGCCATAGTAATGGTCTGTGCAAGTTTTCTTAGGAGCTCACATGTCTGTTATATTCTCACCCCTTGCTGTAAGATGTTGTCCTTATTTCAAAGAAAGTGAATCTGTTCCTTCCCCTCTTTTCCCTCCCCCACTCATATACCCAGGAAATAGTGACTTTCCTGAATTCCTTTTAACACGGATGGAAGGAGGGAAAACTTGAGTACTTTTATTCCTAACCAACGCTCTATTAATAGGCTTTTAAATGCGGCACAATTTTTAAAATAACTAAGTGGGAAGATGGTGAACAATGACCGTATTGTAGGCTCCCACCCCCGCCCCACAGAGGCTGAATGACGGCTTATCTGGAGGCCCCACTTGGACACCGACACCTGCAACACGAAGGCCCTGCCTAACTGCAGTAAAAGGTCCCGCTTTACTCCTGTAACATGCCCAAGTTCACTTAGGTCAATCATGCCATGTGCTAAAATAAGTAAACTTTTTTCACTTCAAAAAAAGTGCTTTCACTTTTTTAAAAGGATAAACCATTCAGCCAGACTTGGCCAAACCCTCAATTCACACAGTGGGAAACGCAAGAACAACTGGTCCAAATACCCCTAAGAGAAGAGCCAGACTCAAAGGCTTCAAAAATGAGGACAAAGCCTCTGGGTGGTCCTCCCACCCCCACTGCGCACAGCAGGGTGCTCGCAGGAAGTGATTCCTGTTTCAGTTCTTGCTGCATCAGTGAAGGGAAGGCACTCCCAGTATCAGGGGAGAAAAATGGGCATGCCACTGGAGCTGAAGCCTGCTGTGTCATCAGAGTGCCTCCTCGCCAATTCCACACCCCACACACCCGAAACGCTAGACTTAGCCAAGAGGCTGTGTGCCTGCCCCAAGTCTCCCTCTGCCAAGTATCTTCCTGTTTGTCTTTGAGCACCCGGCCAGCTCAATGGCCGATGCTTCTGCCTTCCTTGGGCCAGTGACAAATCTGCCAGGAGCTCCTCATCGCCAGGCAGAAAGAGCCTCAGTGAGCTCAGAGAAGCCACCAGCCTGCCTGTCACGTGGTTCTCAAACACCAGCTCACTGACAGCACATTAAAGGCTTCCAGCAGCAGGACTTAATGGTGTCAGCATAAATCCGGGAGTCCAAGCCCTTCCAGCTTCCCCTCTGGCCAGCATGGAGGAGTCTGAGCCCCAGCAGCATTCATAGCCTTCTAACCAGCAACAGAGAACCAATAGAGAGCCTTACCTTTACAGCACCCAAGAAGCCTGCGAGCACAGCACCCCCACACCCATCCTGGCAGAAAAGGACAAACCATGATCCCAACAACAGATGCACAGACAGCACAGAATAAATCACACGTAGCATCATTATGCATTCACGTTTAGACTCCAAAACTGGGAGTAACAATCAGTATTCTTGGCCACAGTGACCATATCATAAAACCGCCATCCTAAGAGATTTCTATAGCATGATGCCTGATAGGAATCACATGTGACTAACGCATGATTGCTGTTCCCATCTTGGACCTTCCTTGCGCCATTTTATTTCTTAAATTGCTTATATACTAAGTTCCACCATTTTGCAGTGTGTTTCTTGGCATTATGTCTCAGACATGCATGGCACACGCTGCCATTGACTGCTAGGGGACCAGCCTTGAACAGTTATGGATTCTCAGATAAGCAACTAGTAACTTACGCTTGCTTCATGCATACATCGCTTCCTTGTAATGAGAACATAACTCTGTCTGCCCCAACTTTAAATAATCCATGATATGCTTTATACATATTGTAATGTTTAAGTATGATAGGCAAGATGTTCTTTATTAACATTCTAATTTTTACTCTTATTTATCTATAGCATGTGCTCTAACCTCCAGAAAAAAGAAACCCCTACATATTTTTTACACATCACATTAAAATAATAACATCTCTCCTACCTTCACATTCCTACTTTGTTTCTACTGTCCATCTCACATGACCAGAAATGAAAGTATAAGAATTACAATGCTTCACCCAGAAATGAAATCCATCTTTTATTCCATGGAAGAAAATTAACAGCCAATATAACACTGTTTGAAGGAAACAGCCAAGATGCAACATATATAGGATTGGTACACATATAGGATTGACTAAGTGTTTTTTTTAACCAATATTAATTTTTATTACAAACAAGTTTTTTTTAACTTGCATAAGGTACCTCTCTGAGACCCCTTATATGGATAAACCCAATGAACAAAACAAGTTGGTCCAAATTTGAGGGCTAAAACCTTACAAACAGCTCAGTTTAACTAAAAAGTTTCATCCTGCCCTGGCATAAATCTACAAGTATATGACTGCGAAGTCCGAGACGAACACAGCTAGAAATCAGAAGCATTCGTAACATTCCACCAAAAACAGTGGACCTGTCATGCTACATTAATCCATCCTTAGTGGGTAAAGTGAAATATTTGCACCTTAACTTCATTTATCACCTACTTAAGGAAGTAGTCCCAGCTTATTTCCTTAAGCACACAATTACAGGCTGTTCCCCCTGAGCTGGGAAACGTACTCCTACTCAGGATGGATGGTGAGCAATAGCTTCTCAAGGCTTATTAAACACTAAACAATTAGAATACCAACACCATGAACATCTACGTGCTTTTAGGCTGCGTTGAGTTTTTGTGGCACATACTTGGAAACCTGAAATATCAAGTGCTTTCACAACTGTGAAAAAAGAAACAGAACCTGACAAGACCCGCCCTAACTAGGAAATCCCAATTATCCAATTTAAGAGTTTATTCTAGAGAAGAGTACTCCCAGGGAAATAACTGACGCTCCTCAACCCTTACAGGCAGCTACAAAAATAATACGACCGCATCTCAGAACACAGGCTCCATCCCACCAGACAGATAATTCCACTAAAATTGCAATTCTAAGGTAAGGACAAACCCACCTGCACAGGTAAGAGTTGGAAGTAAGGAAAAGGCTGAGGTTAAATGGTCCCTGGAGAGGATTCCACTTTCCCTCCGTTTCCTGAAGCCTGCACAAATAGCATCTTTCAAAAAGCAAGTCAGCGGGACAGACCACAGACTGCCAGGGTGTCTGCCTGGTAAACACAAATTAATGACTAATTCATGAATTCAAGAAACCACATAAGAGTCTAGCAGCAAAAAGCCCAATTAACTCAAAATCAAACGCCCAACATCTGTGATCCTGTCCCTGCAAGGTAAGGGCCTGGATGCCGGGGGTGGGGGCAGTAAGAAATAAGGGAGCTGCCACAGGAGCTAGTCGAGAGAGAGAAGTGCCAGAGAAAACAGCCCTGTCCATCTTTCCATGCGGCAACCTGTGCTAAGCTCAGAGAATATTCAGCTGAGTTATTTGGTGAGGTCTGTAGCCTATCGAGTGAGAATTTTTGCTGCCCTCAAAAAACATATCTTCTCTTTAAACCAAACTCTAGCTTTTCAAACCCCACGCTGACTTCCAGCTAGGGAGCTTTTAAAGGCGGTACGAAACAGGGGCTAACTCACTAAATGGCTGGTCCAGCAGTCTTAGAGAGAAGACAGTCTGGCCAGAGGAGCTTCTGTCCTATACGATAAGCCTCAGCAGGAGCATTTGGTAGGACGGGGACAAGCAGCAGGGCAAAGGTAAACAAGTGTGCAATAAAGACCTGCATCAGCAGACAGGGTGACAAGGTTCTGGAGATCCAGGGCACAATGATGTGAATGCACTCAACACTACTGAATTGCACACTTAAAAATGGTTCAAATGGTAAATTTTTTTTACCATAAATTTTTAAAAAATTTTAGAAGATACCCAGCAGGAACAGCATCCCACACTGCATAGAAAGCAAAGGAGAAAAAGACAAGTCCAGATGATAGCAGGCATTTACTCGGAAAGGTTTTGAGGCACTTATTTGTGGACAGACAGAAAACACTGGTTACCTGGAGGAAGGTGGTATTCCTGGCATCGTGTCCCAAACATGCGGGACATAACAGGGACATTCGAGGCACTGAAAGTTTCTTCCTCCGCTCATTCGCATCGTCATAATGTGAGAAGCACCTAGAATCTCTGCACTGATTCTGAAGTCCCACATAGGAAACCAAAGGCTGATGGGCCCCAGAGGTGACATCCTCTGACAGCTCTGCCTTTGGACTCTGGCTCTGAGGACTGGTCCAAGAAGAGAGTGTTATGTTCTAATCTACATGCCTCGGGAACATCTGGAAGAGGGGGTCTGTCAGCAGACCTGCTGACTAGATGGATCAGGATGACTTTCCACAGACATGTGAGTGTGGGAGAGACTGCCCAGGAAAATCCCTGCCAAGCTTAAAACTATGTCCGTGAATAGAAGCTCCAGGGGTGAGATTTCAGTCAAAGTAAGAGAGAATTTTTGAATGACTTAAGATCTGCAAAATTAGCCTCTCTCCCTAAGTGAATTATGTCACCGGGAATGTTGGAGTAGAAGCTCTTGAGTAGGTGAGACACTGGGCTAGGCCCTTCCCAGCTCAGGTTTCTGTAGTATATTAATTAGGAATGTATTTGGCTACAAATATGAGAAAACCCAAACACTTTTTATCTTTTCACTCTGCCATCCTTCGTGTGCTTTTATCTTCACATGTGTTTCCTCCAGGCTCAAGGCCACTGAAGGCAGAAGAAACTGAACACAGGCAGGGACAGCTCCTGTCTCAGAAAACGCAGAGCCCTGGCAGACTTCCACTTACATTTTGTTGGCCAGAATGAATCACATGGCTGTCTCTAAACCAGGCTTTCTCGGCCTCAGCCCGATAAGACATTTCGGGCCTGATAATTCTTTGTTGTTCAGGACTGGCCTGTGCATGACAGGATATCTACCAGCAGCCCTGGCCTCTACCCACAGATGCCACTAGCATCCCCAGACATTGCCAAACTTCCCCAGGAAGGCAGAACCATCCCTGGTTGAAAACTACCCTTAAACTAATCACCACTCTGTAGGCTAAGAAGAAGAGGGTGGTAATGGGGCTGCCAGCCCACCCACAGTGCCTGCCCCAAATGCTCTACATATATTTCTTAAATGTTTTCTCATGAGCACACTCGCTACTGTGCTAAGTATGTTGGAACATTTAAGAGACACATATGAAGTGCCCACATCTTGGAAGTACTGACAATAATGTTGAAAAATCAAGATCGATGCCCATGAAACAATCAGGAAAAAAATGCAATGTAAAGGGCTTAAACCACAGAGAGAGGCTAGACATCGTCTGGTTGCTTCAGACTGGGAAGAATAAAAGTACATAAAACTATAACCTAAAATCCTAAATAAAAATGTCACTTCCAAGGTGGAACTTGCATTTGAAGAATTCTTAGCCAAGTGGCGGAAGAGAAGAAAAACTACATAAGCAGAGGTCACATAGTGAGCAAGGTTAAAAGCTCAGGAGCTGCTCTGCGACAGACCGGGGTTCTGATAGCCACAAGCCTGAGACTGGGCAAGTCATTTGGCCTACCGACACCTCATTTTTATTACCTGTAAAATGAGGATAATGACAGCATCTGTCTCCTAGGGTTGTTGAGAGGATCAACTAAGAGGAAATAACTATAAGAGAGTATCCGGCAAATAGTAAGCAATCAGTTTTGGGTTTCTATTATTACTGTGATTATTATATAGTTATAACATATTATTTAATATAATAATATAATTCAGGAGGAGAGCTCACCTGTTAAGAATCAGAAAATTCCTGTTGCAAAGTGGCTGTCACATCCTAAGCAGGACAACAAGAACTTATAGTTGGTGGGTAAAGTCAGGCTCCTGAGGGCCATGAAATACTGGCCACATCCAAGCAGGACAGCAGGACCAACGAGAAAACACATCTACCAAGACATGGTGGCAGGATGGATGGTTGGAATACGCAGGTGATTTCCAGTGAATACCATGGCCAGTAGCCATGGTCAGGGTAGTAATAAGACTTTCCATGTTATAAAGAAGTTTTAGCCTGTAAAGCATGTCTATATATACTATCTGAGCAATTTTCATGTAACAAGCCTGTCCGTCAATAATAGAGAGCTACTCTAGCAAGAAGGAGTTCTACTAGTCATTTGAAAGTCATTGCCAAGCAAAGTCAATCTGTGGAAAGAAGTGGGAGATACAAGACTTGCCTTCTGGTTGAGCACAGAGACATGATGTGAGCCAGAGACCACCCATGGGGCCTTCTGAGTCCCAAACTCCAAGTTTCTGGGTCCCCACTCCTTTATGATAAAGGACACACAACAACTGCCACTTCTTCCCGGTGCCCTGCCCTCCCACTTAGGGCTTCCCTAATAGTTAACTAGTGCGGATGCCCCCAGGGTTTACACACTAATCTTCCACTAAGTTTAATAAGCTCCACAAGGCACAAAATAATAGTTGAAAGATGTGGAAAACTTAGCCTTGCCTTAAAGAAAGAAAAAAAAAATCACAAAGTATTCCTGTGTGTGCCTGAAACCTGCAAAGGGAGTGGGCAAGATGAGGCACAGGTGGGTATCTCCTACCACGTGGTTCTGGTCACTATGCCCTCCTTATCCTCATCATCATCCTCACCTGTCCAGTTCCTGTTATCTGGGGTCATTTACGGGGCAATGCACTGATCACTTTATACTGTACCCACGGCACACGCTCCCAGCTTCTTTAAAAATTCAAGGTGTCCAATACTTTCTAAAACAGAGTATCTGTCATCTACTCCACTGCTGGGTTTCAATAAATATTGAGCATCAACACAGAAAAGACTGATCTCCTTAAAATACAAACCTGTGCCTTGAAAGTAGTGAATGGGAAAAAGTCCATTTATAAATGTTTGCTGGTAGATCTAATATGACGTCACATAAGCAAGAAGTTGCCTTTTCCTGATTTTTTGGGGCAGCCTTCCTCCTAGCACACCAAAGTAGTACGTGAAATTTTTTCATACTACCAAGAATGATAATTAAACAGAAGTAAAAAATTATTTACTGTACTAATACTGCATCCTCGTTATTACACTGGGTATTTTACACGCGCTATTACACGAACCTTCACACAACAGGGTAACTCACCATTGTCCTTATTTTATAGTACAGAGCTCTGAGAGGTTAAATAATTGACCCAAGATCAAGTAAAAGAGATTGAATTCCACTCAGCATCTTCCTGACCACCAGTCCCACTGCTCTGACCACTGTACACACAGCCCCACATCATCAATACAGCTAAATAAGTCAGACAGCAACTTTGCATCCATCTAAATGCACCAAAAACACTACAGTGAGCAGTTAGGTACAAACTTTACTAAAGCCAAGAACTATGAAAACAACTTCCCATTCAGTCTGTCCACATTTGTTCTTTGTACTTTACCAAGGCTCAGAGAACAGGCTGCTCACCCTCGCTCTCCATCAAACACAGCAGAATCTAGAGCTGCTCTGTCCAACCAAAACACAACAGGGGCCACGTATAAAGTTTAAATTTTCTTGTAGACACATTTTGAAAAAGTAAAAAAAGAAAGATGAAATTAACAATTTATTTTCTTTCACTTAATTTTTCCAGAATGTCATTGAAACATGTCATCAATATAAAAGTTATTGAGACATTTTGCATTCTTTCTTTCGCAATAAGCCTCTGACATCAGTGTGCACCTGACACAGCACTTCTCACTTCAGACTAGCACACGTCAAGTGCTCAGCAGCCACCTACGACCTACAGCTGCCATACCGGGCACGTGGATCAACCCTTAGATTTCCAAACTTGCAACGCCCCTTTAGTAACTGGCCCCACGTTTCCATAACAGTCTGAAAAGGGAGTGCTCTGGTCTTATTTTTTTTCCTTCACACTCCTGAGCCGAGATTACATGGACACAGAGGAGCAGTATCTGAAATCTCACCACCGTCATTTCCATTCAATCCTTTAAGTGTGTGCTCTGAGTTGTGTTCTAGCAGTAATGCTCCTGAAAGGAGCAGTGCTCTAAGCATACAATATCCAGCATTAAGCCTTAGGCACCACAGACAAAATGAGATGGCTAACTGATGTCACAAGTCCCTGTCCCAAATTCACTTTTCCTCAACAATTTGGAGGAGTTATGAAGTAACTCCTTATCAAGAAAAACTATGGTCAAGAAACACAAAAAGGAAACCACTGGGGCTTCCCTGATTTCCAACCTAATTCTCTAAGGCCAACGCTACAAACTCAAATGCCCACAGGACCCGGAGCAGGCCCACAATGAGCCTGCGCCCATCTGAGGGACAGCCCTGACTCCAGACCTGAGACCAGGCTATGTGGGAAGGTGGCCCCAGTGTTACCAGGTCACCTGATTTCTGGAGAGAAGCTGCAAATCTGGATTTTCAGGTTCATCGCCTGATTTTTAACTGTTAGCAACTCACGTAATATATTAGATAACCATGTACAACGAAATAGGAAGTGATGGCAAACTGGATGCCATCTTGGGGAACAAGTAGGCAAACTCTGGTATTTGTGGGACACAATAAAGACACACAAAGACTAAGCATGGAATGACCTGGAGAAGAATTTATACTCAGCCCTCTGCCTCCCGTTATCCTCACTGCCCTCCAGAGGAGTCAAGCTCCCTTTGAGACTAAGAGGAGCACAGATAGCACAGACTTGCTGCAACCGTCCTGGGCATCTTCATCCGTACAATAATTTAGGCCAGGGCAGCATCAGGAGGGGCACAACCCGAAGTGAACCAGAATACTCTTCCTCACAGAGAAGGGATAGCCACCCCTCAAGGCCACATGAACATCTTAGTCAGTGACCCGACCCAGAGCAGCAAGAGCCACCAATTTCTTAAAAAGAAGCCAAAAAATATAGCTTTTCCTGGAAAATATCCTAATTGTTCAATGTTGGCAACTAATTCACATCGTATTTCCAACACCACATGAGCCAGAGTCAGCCCATAGGGCCACCTCTCCATAACCCCTGGATCAGGACACCTCCAAAGTTGCACCAAGACCCAGCACTCTGGACACCTCCAACCTGGACATTCCCCTGACTTCACTGAGCATGAACTTAGCCCGCTTCTTCCGCCCACGTAAGCTTGGAGAGAGGCTCCACTGGCTGAAGGAGATGAGGAGAAAGGAGATTAAATGAGACATGGTATCCTGGACTGGATCCTGGAACTAAAAGGACAGTAGTGGAAAAACTAGTAGAGATCCAAATAAAGGCTATTGTTTAATAGTATTGTTAATGTTAATGTTAATTTCTTGGCTTTGATATATTTACTAGTTAAGTAAGCTGTTAATATTAGGGGAAGCTGGGTAAAAGACACATAGGAACTCTGTGAACTCTTTGCCACTCTTCCATGAATCTAAAATAATTTGCAAATAAAAATTTTCAAAAACTCATAGGACTGTACCCCTCCCCACAAAAAAAAATGTTAATCTTATAGTATGCTCATTTCTAAAATGAAATGTTTTAAAAAAAAATTGCTAGTAAGCAGAGACATGAATTACCTTGAATCTTCACTCTGGTAGACTAAGAAAAACCGGAAGGTACCAGAATGGATGTTTGCCCTTGGCTTTACAGTGTATGTGCAAAAACCAGTGGGGCACGGAATTAGTGGACTTTCAGTAAAATATCAAATGGCTGCATTTAGGTAATTATGATTAATGTGAACTGAATTGAGAAAGTTGCCAAACACTCAAGAGCTTTGTGGCCTTAGAATATAAATGAGCTTACAACCGGAGGATTGGAGACATCATTATCCAAACAAGAGGCAGAACTGTAATAATAAATACAAAAGCTTTGGCGTGGAATAACGCAAACTGCACAC